GGGATCCTTCCCCTCCGCACCTGCTCCCAGGGAATCGCGGCGGTGGGGCAGGATGCAGGGCCATGGGCACTGCTCCCCACGGGCCCCGCGGCCTCACTGGGCGCCCGCATGGGCACAGCGAGTGTTTCTGTCCATTAAGAGCCTCCCTTCACCGCTTGTCCCACCTCACGTTAGAGCCCTTTGAGGGCCTCTCCCGCTGCCATCCAGAGATGAGGACCAAGATTCCACCAAGGACTTCGCTCCGTGGCGTGTTCCCTGGGGCAGCGGGAGATGGACTCACTAGACTGCAGCTCATCCCATTATTAAAGAGCTACTCCTAATTTTAAAATGTTTCATGTACTTTGTTCCTGCTCTTTAGACGATGCTGGAAAAGGCAACTGTCTTAGGAAAAGCCTTTGGGATGTGTGTTAGCGTTCGGAGCGTGGCATCAGCTGTACGCTGGCGTATGCACTTCAGGTAGCTTAAAGCAGCAGTGTTTGTAGGTGTGATACAGGAATAAAGATTGTTTTTCTTATCATTACTCAAGTGGGACTTACTTTAAGACGTGTCTAGAAATCAGGTAAATTCCCCCTGCTTACAAGAATATTTACACAGTCTTAATTTTAGAATTCCACAGGTTGACAGTGTCTCATTACCAATAGTTGGAGGATTTAATGCTTCTTGGTCTAATAAGTGAAGGCCAGAAACTATTTAAATTGCAATATTTGCTCTGTGTGCGAGGAAACTGAGGGAAAGAATGTTAGTTTTCCACAAAGCCCTTTGAATGTATCTGCATTTCCACGTCTGCTTGGACAATGCACTGAAACTTAGCTGTATTTAGCAGTTTAACCTACTACTGAGAAATGTTAATGCTTAAGTGTCTGATTAAAAAGCATCTTTAGAATGTTGTTGAATGGGAAAGTGTTTTTTCTGCTCTATCACTTCCTGTATATGAATTAAATATGTATTTCCTTCTCTTCAGGTTCTCACTATGTAATAAAAGAACTATATATATGTTATTACTTCATAAATGATAGAACATACTGTAATACAAATTATACAATTTTATTTTAATTCCAAATAATGCTTGTTAAGTTTTTTCTTTTGTGGCCACATGTTTTATTTGCTGTTAATAATAGAAGGTGGGAATGAGCTCCTGGTTGCAGCATTTTCTTTGGATTTGCTTTTTCACTAGTTGTTGGAATCTGTCATAAGAGCCGATTTCAACTCTTATCCGAACAGTGTTTAGTAGCACATGCGGTCAAGATCCTGGCATTCCCTGTGGGATGCGGAGTAGTGAAGTATTGAGTTTGTTGCTCTCTTTCCTGTTGCTTCTCCCAAGCTGAACCAGCAGAGACCTTCCTAACACTGTCAGCGTTTGGTGTGTGGAGTTCAGAAATGGCTCTTTTCTGGCTGCATTTTTCTCTTGCTAGGCAGGAATCTTCCCTCAGCTCTAATTTCTTGTTTCTGGAATACACTTACACCCTTTCTACGTTTTTACTTCAGCCTCCAGCTAGGGAATTCTTTCTTTCCATCTTCTGCTTGAAGTTCCCCCTGGTGAAGTTTGTATCCCTTGGGTTTTAGTAGTTACTCGTTCAACAGCTGCTGCTCTGGGACTGCCTCTGCCTGTGGAAAGAAGCTGCATTTGTCCTCTTGAGCCCCTGAACTCCAGAGCCTTTCTGGACCGTGTCTGTTGGGACTCCCTGCTCCCGGGTTTCTGCTTGTGCAGGGGGCTTCACGCTGGTCTTTTGCGTGCAGACAATATTGACAAAACTGCTGCATGCATTTTACGTGGGATTTATGAATGCAAACTGCTCCTTGGCTGCTCCGTTTGGAGCAGCAGCAGTTGGGTGATAACCCACGTACGTGTGTAACATCCTGAAATGTGGCCCTGTCGGAGGGAATAAACTGGGGCCGTGGTTTGGTATCGGTCTGACTTGGAACATTGATGCACCAAAATATAGCGGGGGGAGACAGAGCAGCTCCAAGAGAAATATCATATTAATATTTATACAGTCCTTTAAGCCTATGCCCAGTGAAACGAAATTTTCTCTACCTTTTTCACTAACTATGGGGGGGAAAAAACCTCTTACTGATACTACAATAAGTATTAATATTTAATTTAAGCCTTTAAGCCTATGCCCAGCGAAATGAAACTCTTTCTCTACATTTTTCACTAACTATTGGGGGGGAAAAAAACCTCTTACTGATACTACAATAATATTGTCCTTAGTATTACTGCTTGGAGGCAGCAGGAGTGTCTTTGGCACAGATCTTATTTGGCTACCTGGAGCCAGAGGAATTGCAGAGCCGGAAATCGTGGGGTTCCTGGTCTCCAGATCCATCCCCGTTCTGCGGCCCTAGGAAGGGGGTTAGCGCAGAGCCGGCAGGGCCGGCGCGGGCCGAGCGGGATCGGTTCTGTTGGGAATGGGAGAGGAGGTTGAGCGGGACCACGGCCCCCAGCCCGGAGCATCATCCCAAACCGGAGCCGCCCCGCGCTCCTCGTGCGGCGCGGAGCAGGAGGGACGGCCACGTGCGCCGGCTCCCGCCTTTCCCTCCGTCCACACGAATCCTGCTGAGCGGATCCAGCCTGTCCGTAAAGCAGCGATCCCATAGAGAACCTTTTTGTTTTTAAATATCGTTCTGCATAGTCTTACAGAACATGTACATGCGGGTCACACAAATGTATTGTGCTATAGAAATATTTTGTACGTTTTGGGTGTTTCTCATGGGATCCGAGAGGCTGCCAGCAAGAGGGAATTGGAGTTCTGGAAGGAAGAAAAGTCAGTGAGAACCAGTGTCCCTTCGGTCATGATTTTGCAATTGCCTTTTCAACAAGCAAGATCCATAAGTTTGGAAAATGAAGCTTCCTGGGCACCGCAGCCGTTGCAAAACCGAATGCAAGCAGAGATGATGCCGAGGAAAGGACGGATAGGAACAATCCTGTATTTTTCATCTGTTGAAAACAGCCACGTTTGGTAAAAGTCACAAATGAATCCATTCCCCTTTCCTTTGAATGCTACTTCTATATAGAAATGATTTTCTGTTTTGCAGCCAAGAAGTTTCAACTTCACAAAAAAGATGAACATACAAAAAGGAACTGCAATAAAAATGAATTACTGCAACCGCTGCCTGTGGTGGGTCTTTGTAGGTAGAAAAGAGGATTGAATAAGGCCCAAGTGTGTCCTGCACGGAGCACCAAGTGCCCGGTGGCCGCGCTCCGGGGCTGCCGCTCGTGCACTGCACGAACCAGCTGTAAATATTTTGCAGGGAACTTTTTGCTTTGCGCTGTGCTTGGTTTTGAGGTTCAACCCTGCCGTTAACTGCTGATGGGAGAGTTTTCCAGAGAACCTGGCAAGAAGTAACGTGAACATGCTGATGTGAATTGCGACGCTAATCTTCTGTAAATCGAGTGGCACATTTTTAAGGGACAGCCGGGAGAAATTTGAAAACATTTCCATGGTACCCTGCGAGCGGGCGCTATTGAAATGAAATCTCATGGATGGAATTCAGTAGACGCAGCTGCTGTATCAGCGTCCAAATAATGTGCTGCCCTGTTCAGAAGCAGCCCATAAATAGCCGGGGCGGCCGGCGCGTCGCAGAGCGCGGCCAGCGCGGGCAGGAGCAGCGGCGCGCCGGGGGAGCTGCGAGGGCCGAGCGAGGAGACCGAGCGAGTGCGTCCCCCGCGCGGCTCCTGCCGCACTGGAGATTTTGCTAATGTTTGCCAAGAAGTGGTACCGCAGGGTTTTCGTTAAGACTTCTAAGGGCTCTAGTTTCTTTATCCATCCCTTTTTAACATCTCCGCATCCCATCCGAGTAGCCTGGTGAGAGCAGAGGGAGGCCGCGCGCTGCCGGCTGCACTTCCCTGCCCGCACGGGGATCCGGAACGGGGCTGCGGCCGCCGGGGCCGGGCC